GTCGATGAAGTTGAGATAGAGAGGTGACTGCCATTCTAAGCTTTGTTCAATGATGATCCGTAGAGTGGCGATTTGATTAATACATGATTTGTTTCTCCTGAATCCGGCCTGTTCCGGTCGAAGTTTTTCATCCAGGGCTTGTTTGATTCACTCCAGGATGATGCGGCTTAGTATTTTGCTTGGGATGGACAGGAGCATAATTCCGCGCCAGTTCTTGCATTGACTCAAGTCTCCTTTCTTTGGTAGTTTGAATAAGTATCCTTTCTTCCGATCCTTAGGTACTTTGCCCTCTTTCCACACCTTCTCCAGTAGTGGCGTCATCAAGCCCGCTGTTGTCTCTGGGTCCATTTTCAATGCTTCTGCTGAGATTCCATCTGGTCCTGCTGCTTTTCCTGCTTTTAGCATCTTGAATGCATTCAGGATTTCTGATTTCGTCGGGAGGTCAATGTTCACTGGTAGTTTTGCTTCCGTTGTTGGAACTGTTGGGCGCATTGTAGGTAGCGGTCGATTTAGAAGTCGTTTGAAGTGTTCAGCCCAGTGTTTTCTTTGCTCCACTTCTTTGGTGACTGACTTTCCATTGTCATCGTTTACTGGTTTAATTTGTGTCGAACTTTTTCCCGATAGGTACCTAGTTGTTTGGTAGGGTGTTGTGATATCTCCTTTGCCTGCAGCTTGTTCTGCTTCAAGCTTCAAATTCACTAAGGGGAATAAATGTATGAAAAGCATTTCCAATTGGCCACTGCAGACCTTTATCAACACCTGTCCAGTTCACTACATACTAAAGATCAGATAGCCGGCAAGAAAGGATAAGAGAGAAAAGAAACTGCTGCAAGCAACGAACCGGCCAAAAACCTACTGCCTAATAAAAATGCCGAAGGAATTATAGATACATTGGACAAACACAAACTAAGGAGACTGAGGAATAACAACACGCAGCCGTATAGCAGAAAAGACAAGTTGAACGTAGGTTCGACAGTGACATAAAGAAGATCGTGTAAAGCGTGGGGCCAGCTGAAGAAGACTGTCTAAAACAGGATGATATGGAGATGTACACGGTTGAAGCCCTATGGTCCACTCAGAACCCCAGGGAATAATAATAATAACAATAAAAGCAGCAGTGCCCTGTTTGGTGGTATATAAATGAAAATCAAGAGAATTGTTTTTTCCTTTACGTTCCCAATGGAACATACGGTTTAAAGCTAGAGCCAGCTTGAAGTTTCTGTAGCAGTGGTGATTATTTATTTTTACAGGATGAGGTTGCTAGCCAGCTTGATGCCCAAGCTTCCTTCTTTACTAGTCTTATCATTGGCTTAGCGAGGTAAAGGAGTAAGTCGGGCAGGGATCGAACCTCGGACCATCTGAGTCGTGATTGACGAGCACCCTACCGCTGTGCCACCGATGCACTAATCAAGAGAATAAGAATTTCTTGATGATATGTATACACTAGTGAACTGCAATCTACGAATGTTTGGCATGCAATTCGCTCCCGCCAAATGCAAGATGATGTTACAGGACTGGACTACATTGACTCCTATCTTAGAAACAAGGAGTGAAGTGGTAGAGCACGTTGACCGCTTCACTTATTTGGGAAGTACCATCAGCCCCAACGGGTTGATCTCTAACGAAATCTCAGCACGGATACAGAAGGCTAGTTTCGCATTTGCCAGTTTACGCCGACTCTGGCTTAGTAGACGTGATATCCAGTTTCCCATCAACCAAAGGGCGGGTGTACTGCTCAGCAGTCCGCTCCGTCCTCCTTTATGGCTGTGAGTAAGACATGGCCATTGAGAGTGGAGGACATGAAAAGACTGTCTATCTGTCTTCGATCATAGGTGCCTGCGCTCTATCTCCCGTGTGAAATGGTATAATACGGTGAGCAATATTGAGGTGAGGCATCGGTCGAGTGCTAGTTAAGGAGGGGGAATCAATCGACGAGTTGGCTGTGAAATTACATCGACTGAGATGGTTAAGACATGTGTTACGTATGCCTAACCTAGCCATCTCCTTCCTCAAAGGGTAATGTTATATGACATAGGGTCAGGCTGCAAAAGAGCTAGCGGCAGTCAAACCAAAACATGAATTCATCAGTCAATGAAATCCACAACAGTCAGTTTAGGCTGATCACGTAGGAAGATGTAGATTTCCTGGTTGAGGTCCTCGGGACGGTAAAAGCCAATGAAGGCTGGAAACAATTGGTGATATGACTCAAAATCGTTCTCAATGGCTGGCGTAGATGCATCCACTTCTTGTGACTTATGATTTCCAATGAAACTATATAGTTCTCCGTTATTACTATTCCTTTGTCTCACACCTCTGTTTACTGTCTCTATTATGCATTTCTATTCTACTTTCTTCTTTTGCTTTGTGTGCTACATGGGGGGGGGAGTGTGACGACCTGAACTGCCACCACGAGAGTAGTATTTACTAGTCAGACTAAAGTGTTTTGACGATATGGCTAGAAAGCATGACTACTGCTCAGTGTGAACACTCTCTTCAACTAATCATTTCGTTGAGTAGTACATACCACTACGAAATTATGAGTCTACTTATAAGAAAACTAAATAATCAGGGACACAGAGACAGAGAGAGAGAGAGAGCGCGCGATAGAGAGGAATAGAATCAAATGAATTTCTAGTGCTAACTAGTCCAGCATATTTGTGTTGTGTTCATCTTTATCGTGCTATTGATCAATAATAAAAATAACTGAAAAGTTGTCTTTGTAAATAGTTTATAAGTTATGTGATTAATTAAAATTCTAGACAGATGTGATAAAATCTTTAAACATAGAAGAGAACCACTTCAAATTGTTATGTTATGCTATCTTATGTCATCTTAGAAAGCTAAAAAAAATAGTCGGTATTGAACAGTTGGACTAAGATTTCATACTATTTCATCAAACTCATCAAGGAAGATAAATCTGAAATTTCAAAGTGAACTGACTCCGTCTCTGAGATTCGAACCCGTTATTCGAGTTGTACTTGAACATTTCGTAGGACAATAATGAGCACATTGACTGAATGCGGTATTTGGTGAAGACTTAACTTTTTTCGTAGTCGACAACTCTCTAGGCATATGGTGTGAAAACTAGGGGTGGCATAGCCCAATTTAGGCCAGCTCTGGCACCGTCGTGATGTCAGCCTGCCCGTTAAAGGTATGCGCAGTCTAACTCTAGAATTGTGAGACCTAGCCCCCCCGAGCTGAAAATGTGCAGCGACTCTGTGTATTCGATCATCACTGCCAGCAGAAAACTGCTTGTGTCTTTGGCACCATTGCACAAGTAATTGTGTTCTGTGCTCCAACAGCGTGTGTCTGGACACGATGGAGGTTACCAGTCATTGAGTGTAGTCATCTTGAAACACTGGCTTCAGTTACTTGAACATGTACTCGTGTATCATTCGATGTTCGCTATCCTCAAGAATGGATGGAAATAGCAAAGAGGTGGTTAGCCTATGACATGCTGCCGTGGGGGTGAAGGATATTTGTGTTAATATATGTGTAAAACTTCGGCACTGTGGTAGTAAGTAATTCCATATTAGTTTGTTTATTAGATGTATCACACAGTGAGTGAAACAGTATTATTTACTGGATGACAATGTTTCGAACAAAATTTATTATTCATAATCATATCGTCAGTTATAATCACACGAGTTTGAAACTTAAGTTTTATAGTCTTCTTAGTTCTCTCCTATTTGTCATAAGGGTAGTAGAATTTCCCAGATATCTAGGTGGACAGGTGTAGAATCACTCCTATTGCACGTATTCACTTCGGTTGATTCGATAAACAAAGCTTCCGTTTTTATCAATCTTCCCCTCCACTCTGTCAGTTACATTAGATTTTAAAACTGTGAGCTTATCTCATCCAGCCTATTTGTATGGTTGTGTGTAACTGCATGTAGTGAGTGGTATAGCTGAACTATTCTCTAGATTTCTTATCTTATTTGGGTCAACCAATCTAGATTTTGCTACTGGGTTTTTATGTTCGGCTAGTCTGACTGCCTTTGTTCTATTAGTTCGACCTAAGTATTTGACCTGATAATCATTGCAGGTAGGGTATTAGATAAACTGAATTGTTTTGTTTTAAAGGCTCCACAGGATCAATCGTTTTACTGACAAAGCTTGTTTCTGAATGACTATATGGGTTTGAATGGTGGCCACTTTTATTCCTGCCTTGTTTGTAGGGGTGTTATTCGTTTCAAGCTTAGTCAAGAGATGGATGTCATTTGTAGGACCGATGAAAACCACCGGGTACTCGACGGCTGTTTCATCCTACACATCCACTACCCCACCGGGAGTCGAAGTCACGTCCTTCAGGTTATGAAGCCAAGCTTGTTGACTATTCAGCCACTGGGAATATAATTATCTCTAGGATATTTAATCCTACATCCTACAAGGAAGCTTCTGTTGCCTTAGCAAAAAAATCTCAATGCAACGAGGTGGAAAAAGTAGATCCAATATGAAAATAGATCAGATATCATGATTTACCATGACAGAGTAACTAATACCAAATAGTCAATCCATCAATCAGTCTCCAGGTTCGGAGATCCCTAATATTATCTGCTAGGATAGGGTACTATTGTGGTGAGAGCTGTCTGTTAGCCAAAACTGGTAGACAGCAATTTACGTCAATGTTTACGTCCGGAAAAAGGGGTCACTAGATAACACAATAATAAAGCCTAACCTTGAGGAACTCAACAACCAATCACAACAGACTTTGCGTGGGCGGATACGATTAGCAGATATACGACCTGACCTTGAAAGAAATGGCCACAAAGAGATGACAGAACAATTTCCAGTGAGAAAACAACCAATCAGAAGACGTTGCTTCTCTGCTAACAATAACGCTAATAATAATGTACACAAAAATCTATAAATATCTGCGTGGCCCTTGTCTTCCGTCGTTACACTACCAGTAAGTTTCATCAGTATATATTCTTGCAGTACGGAATATTATTGACAGAAATAGACAATATACATACAAAAAAAAGAGAAAAGAAACTTACCCAACTGTGGTAAAGTAGCCATATATATTAGATAAGGCATAGCTAAACTATCTATAATGACAAGTTTACAGTTGGAAAAGAATTTATGAATATGACTGGATGAAGTGTATTGATTACTTTGACTTTTACTAATATACATTCGTATTGTTGTCAATGCATCGATTAGATGATTGATTGTAGGCACTGAACAATGACGAATCCGTGTTAAACATTGTTTGATATCCTTAAGATAAAGCAAAATGAAGTAGGTGACGTAATCATTTAACAAAAGAGATTGATCATATTCCAGTTAAGCTCAAAAAAAACATGGCGACAGTAACCAGTGGACCAACCAGGTCAGTTAAGAAAACGATTACTCTCCGATGACAGTGTCTAGCAGTTGCGCTATATCTCACGAATTAGTAGAAGAAGACTAGATTCATAGACCAATGACTGAATGATCTACTAGCTCGCCTTGTAACCCCCTAAGATCCTAGTTTCGAACCTCAGTGGGGGAGAGTACTACTGAAGAGTCCCAAACAAGGACAAGAGACAGTTGCCCCAGTACTCCCTCATATCAGCTTGTAACCAAGCCTGTAATCAGTGTGTTTATTACACTCCTGGATAAAAGATCAAACACAACACAAACAGCAACACTGAGTGATGACACTGATTTCAATTCCTTAGATGACTGGCGGGAAATACACCTTGTTGACAAGTGATAAAATATTATAATAAAGGTGTTTTGTATTTCCCAATGAATGAAAGAAACAAAACGATATTGTTGTCGGCTTTACTGACGTTTCACTATTTAATGCTGCTACTAATAGCTTTATCAAAGTAGTATTATTAAACCGGAATTTACAAAATCCACTCAGCTTATATATAACAAAGAGTTAAGAGGTGAGAAAATACACTTAGGTCCAGTTAAGAGGACGTATTGCAAGTATGACCGAAAATGCATTCCGAAAACATAGACCTCAACAGTCATCATTCCATATAGAGCAAAGACGTCAGACGATATCAGAAGAGTACTCAATCAGCTCGACATTAGAGTTTTCTTCAAAACATCAGACACTTACACTTCAAAGCAACCTTGTCTATGTAAAATGTCTAAAATGTCTATGTAAAATGTTTGGCGGCCTGTTTGACACCTGGGCTACCATTTCCTCCATCTATATATTGCGTCTAATAAATCATGTTTTCATTCTTAATTTTAATAAAATATGATCACAAATCGCATAAAATACAGTAATTCATTCATTAAACGTTTTAAACCATATGACTTTCATGCATCTAATAAATCTAAGAGAAAACATCACCCTGGCTGGCAGCGTGCACTTAAACAGACACCTTTATATCGTACAACCATTCCTGTTATTGTCACTTCAAACTGCCGTTCACTTCCCAACAAAATTATGCATCTCCAGTCTCTCTTATCATCTGATACTTATCACAATACGGCGATTGTTGCATTACAAGAAACATGGCTCCATGAACTCTATGATGACAATCTGGTTTCCCTAAATGGTTTTACATTGTTTAGACAAGATCGACTATGCTCCAGAAAGAAAAGAGGTGGAGGTGTTGCAACTTTCATTCATTCTCAATGGTCAACTTCAAATAACGTATGTTTTTCTTACTCTAATGACTTTATTGATTGTATAACGGTCAAATGCCGCCCGAAACACTTATCCAAGTTTAAATACGTCTTCATCTCTAACATTTATGTTACTCCTGGCTGTTCTGCATCTGATCTATCTGATTTTGCTGATGAATTCACTGAATTCGCCGTTACACATCTTGAAAACTCTTTATCAGTTGTCACAGGAGATTTTAACTGCTGTGATTGTTCTTTCCTCGTATCATTAGGTCATGCCAATATTGTTAAATTCCCTACTCGACTTGATAAAACTCTGGACCTAGTGTTCATTAATGATGAGGAAATATATGAAGTACGCCGACGTGCTCCTATCATGAACTCAGATCATTGTATTATTCGGATATTACCTAAGATATACAGCAGATCTCACTTTAATATCTTCTCAAATCTGTCCAAGAAAACACAGCAAAGGTGTTACTCACAAGAAAATATGCTCAAACTAAGATGTATGCTAAATGACACTAACTGGGAACTTTTCAACGAACACAAACTGGATGATACTATTTCCAATTTGACTGACTATCTTAAATTCTGTCTTGATATATGCTGTCCAAAACAGATAATTTTCAAAAGAATGGATCGTTTTTCTTCCCCTCATCTCAAAAAACTTCGTAGAGAAAAAGAGAAGCTGTACAAGACAAAGAATAAATCTGGTCTTAAGAAGATAAACACCCAAATTAAATCTGAAATCAAGAGACTAAACAACATTTATAATCAAACAATACTATCTTGTAAAACCTCAGAAAACATATGGAAGCTTTTTAGAGAAATTACTGGTTGTGGTAAGCATAATAATTTTGCCTCTTCTATTGATGTAAATACTCTCAATAGATCTTTCATCCGCCCTCCAAATGTCCTTTCTGCCTTCAATTTAACTAATAACACGACCAGTGACTTTCATCGTTTCAATACTTCTGATGTTCTTAAATGTTTGAAATCTCTTAAACCTTCCCAGAGTCTAGGCCCTGATGGTATACCTGCCATTGTTTTAAAGAAATGTGCTGATATTTTAAGTAACCCACTTACAAGCATTTTCAATACTTCTTTTTCTAATAATGTGTACCTTCTCTGTGCCCAAGTCTGGTTCTGGAGATAGTGTTAAGTTTAGACCAATTGCCATTACCTCTCCTTTTTTGAAACTGATGGAGAAATTACTGTTACAAAAACTCATTCCCTCCCTAAGCTTCTCAAATGATCCAAAGCAGTTTGCTTACAAACAGGGTAGAAGTACTTTGGATGCTGCTGCTGTGTTTCATCACAACATTGTATCCTCCTTAGACAAAGGGGCCAAGTATGTCCGTTGTACTTTCCTTGATTACACATCTGCTTTTGACTCTGTACCTAGAGGCCTTTTGTTAAACAAGCTTAGCCTTACACAAACTGAGTCCTGGGCTATCAACTGGCTGCACTCTTACTTCTCCAATAGGATGCAGTACACGGTATATAATGGTGTAGCTTCCTCTCCTTTGCTTACTGAAGCTGGTGTTCCTCAGGGTGCTGTTCTCTCGCCGTTTCTCTTTTCCTTCTTCTTACATGACTTACCTCTCTCAGACGAAATCAACTTCGTCAAATATGCAGATGACCTGACTGTTTCGCTTCCCGTTAAGTCTCAGTCAGACTGCTTCAAATTAAATAGCTTCCTGTCGGACATCAGTCAGTGGTCTAAACTAAATGGCCTAACGCTGAATCCCTCAAAATGCCAGACTGTCGACTTCTCCTTTAGGCATAAACGAGATCTACAAACACTAGTAAGCACTCATGATGTCTGTAGAATTGAGGGGACTATAATTGAAACAAAGTCTAATGCAAAATACCTCGGATTAGTTATATCTTCCGACCTTACTTGGTCATCTCATATCCAAATGATTTCCAAGAAAGTGTTTCGTCTAACCTACTACATTAAGAAACTCAGACTAACTGGAGTCCCTCAACCTCTGCTTTCACAATTTGTCAACTCTCGTATCCTACCTATTCTACTTTACTGTTCCCCGTTAGTCTTTCCTGGGTTACTGAAAAAGGATTATACCATCCTGAGAAGGATGTTGAAGGTAGTTAGTAGGACTAGCGGTGTAAAACTCAGTCAGCTCGTCACAACATTAGTGGATAAGCATCTGAATACATGTGAGAAATGGTCTAAAACCATACTCTCTGACCCCCAACACCCCCTCTATTCCCAACTCTCTCCTTGCATCTCATCAGGTAGAACCAGAAATCAGTACAAAATAATATATGCTCGTACAACCAAGTATAGGAACTCAACGATACCATATTTGGCCCGTGTTCTAAGTGACAGAGACAATGTTAAGCGCGAAACCTATGACTTGCTTTGTTGTTAATAACATAATTTTGGCCCTTGTTATTTCCCCCTTACACTCTCTTATTTGTACTCTATAGTGAACAACCTTCTTAAACATACTTAGCTGCTTAAAATTATTATCATTGGCTTACTTTTTTATTCTTTATTCTATTCCTTCTTTTTATATCTACTGGGTCCGACTATATTATCACTATGATTATTAAAAATTGTCCCGTCATTAACCATCATGTAACATTAGTTTTGTGGTTGTTCTTTGTTCGGCACTATTTAACTGACAATCTTGTTTGTTATTGCCACTATCACCATCTTAAAAATTTTGTATTATGCATGATTCCTCACACTACCACTACAAACACCGCATTAGTGCTGACAATAAAAAAAAACAACCTGAAATGTTTATTTTATGATTGCTTAGTGTTGTTCAATCAAATTAACTGATCATCTTGGCTATAAACATTTTAAGAACATCTCATAATTTCTTGTATGATTATAGCTGTTACTGTTCACCACGCATACACATATCGTAGCTTCCACTAACCAATACTGAAATATTTTTTCATTATTGGTGTTTATCTTCCTTTTACTTTTTGGTATTTTTATTTGCATTTTTTTTTGTTATTTTTGTGTTTCTTTTTGGTTTTTGTTGTTGTTTTTTTACATTTACTTTTTGTAATACTCCTTTTAAATGTACGATGAAATTAGATGCAATATTGTAGATATGTGCTGAAAATTCCACACTGTACCACAAGTACTGTTTCTGGAATAACGGGAAATTATTATTACTATCTCCAAAGATGTTCTATCTAATTGTGTCTATAAAATAAAATGCTTGAAATGTGATGCGATATACACTGGACAAACCTCACCAGAGAGAAATCAAGGTAATCAGAAGAAATGAACACCGTAGAGCCGCCTCTGTTCGACCACCGAGAAATCCAATTAGTGAACTAGAAAAGCTTGAAGAAAAATCATCAGCCAAGGCTCGTCCACATGCTATGCTGTAGAATCAGGTCACTAAAATATTGATTTTGGACAATATTGAAATAATCCAAAAAAAAGCATTTCAGAAATCCCAAAGAACATCTCATATCATCAGAAGCACTTCATACCATCAAATGGAATCCAAATTGCCTGAGCTGAATAGGAATGGTGGACTAAAACAGAATCTGGCCTGGTGCGTCGGTGGCACAGTGGTTAGGATTTTCGCCGACCATGCACATGGACCGAGGTTCGAACCCGCACCGACGCACACCTGATATCTATG